CTGTGAATCGAGAATACGTCTCGATTTATGGGCTTTGAAAAAGGCAACACTACCAGAACCTAGCTGTGTAAAGAGCTACGGGACGGGCAGGGATAATGGCAAATGGACTCGAGAAATGGGGGCACTTTGCCCTTTGGCTACTTCCCATCGACGTGTCGACCTATCTAGACAGCCTCTTCTCGAGTTGACAGGTTTTACCATGATGCTTGACGACCTTGCTCCAGCTTCACAAGAGTTCACAGGTTTTGCCAGAAACGTACAATGCAGTGATTGTAGAGAATGCCCCCCGTCGCCGAACTGCGCCGAATTCAGAGAGAAAGTCATAGATAGTTGAATAAACATTCCCTTTGAAAAGGTAGCAATGTCCCTTGAGATCCCGTTCTTAGCTCCAAAACGCTGAGACATAAGTTCTGGTGCTGGTATATCAACTAACCTGTGAAGAACGTACTCAGTTTTCACCTCCAATTCAGGTGCACGTCCTTGCACAACACTTCGATGTTCAAGAAACACAGAATGTCTTCAGTACAACGGCGTTGCGAAGTGCTACAAGACAAGTAAATTTACATCTCTCGATTTCTAGCCCACGAAATGTCCGATTTCCGCGCTTTTTCAGCATGTCCCACTGATGAGGTGTTCTCGTTATGCTCGACCAAATGCGAGCCATCCTGCGAAACGAGGAAACCGGTTAGAAATTACGGCTTTCGCTATTCCTTGATGAAGGTCATTCTGAAGAGTTTTGGAGAATGACACTTTAGGAATTCTGTGGTTAATCTGACAGCCTTGACTGATCATTACCTCATTCCGTAGTACTTCTTATCAACTATGCGAAATACCAGTTAGTCCCCCGCCAACTGCCGCGTTCGCTTTTTCCATTTCGCGTGTCTCCACCTTCAAGTATACTCACTTTTGAACCAAAGTCCGCTACCTTGGGGGCCTGCCCACAGATGCACACGAGGAAGCCACTACAGGGGAGGGGGGAGGCAAAAAAGTACTTTTCTTTCTCGACTTCCAATGCGATATAAGTTACACTGTTAGTTACAGTTGCACATATAAGTTACACTTATTGAATTCTGATTGGACATTTTCACCATCAAATTCAACAAGCGCATTGCACACGATCACGAAACTCCGCCACAGCCTTCTGGACGAACGCCATCGAGAGATTCTGCCACGCGACCGTGATTCGGTGCCTGAGTTCAGCGAGGTCGTTGATTTCTCCGCCACTGTAGACCACCCAGTGGTTTGGTCAGGTGACACACTTTTCACATACACACACACTTACACAAAAACACACACAGCCACACAACAAAACACACATGTACAACTATATTCCTCTCTTAAGGTACGTCAACGCTCTTCGATTCCAAGTAGGCGAGAGTTTTCCAACACCCTTCGATTCCATGTGGTGGCACCCAATCCTGTAGCAGTACGAAGTTTCCAAGATGGTACAGGCGACGACATGAAGGCAGGATATTCTCCTCGAGTTGGTCGATGTAACCGTCAACGCTCACTTCCAGTCCGAAACCCAAAATATCGGTCTTCCCATTCCAGGAACTTTCGGTCATACCATCAACCCGCCTTGGCGACTGCACTGAAGATGACATCCTGGACCGTAGCGACGTTGTCGGAGCTGCTCGATGCTGGAGGTCTTACAGATCTTACAGGCTCTAGGTAGCTGTCCATAGGTGACTCGATGCAAGAAGTTTCGGAGCTGCTTGGATCATATCCAAGCAGCTCCGAAACTTCTTGCATCGAGTCACCCATGACGTAAACTCCATAAACCTTCTTCAGTTCGGCTGCGATTGGAGATGACTTCATATTTTGGTGTACATGAAGGTGATGGGCGAGAGCCTGCTCCTGCTTATCGAGGAACATCTTGGGTATCTTCCGCCCTGGTACTCGTATCCACGTCTTCTGTCTGGGCTGCGAAAACTTTGCTGATATGTGACTCGGTCGAAGTGTCTTTTTTGCCCCCCCCCCTATGTATATAGTAAGAGGGGTACCAGAATCATTACATGATGTCACATTAATACCGCAGCTACCAAAACTGGTTTCTATTCTGCAAGTGGTCTTTCCTTTTACCACTTCCTCTATCACACCCGAATAATTTAGCGAATAGACAGAAAGGCTGATGAAGGGACAGTCCGTTTTGGTGATTTATATGTAGTTATTCATATAATAAATTGATGATGAATGACTGTATAGATGAAACATTATTGAACAGTAGTGACAGCTGGAAGTCTAGGGACCACCGGCGGCAACTAGATTACTCATACTCGTGATTGGTGGGTAACATAAAGGTACCAATCAGAGATCCACTGGAACATAAAGACCCCCTACACCCTACCGCACAAGTGACTCTGATTCTGATTATGGGAGTTATATTCCATTTTGAAACTGTCTTCAGGCTTGTGACCAGAGTTGCGGACCACCGAAATGTGAATGCCGGCCTGGATTCGTACGTCACGATGGGAAGTGCGTTCGTCCGAAAACGTGTCCGGAATCTCTCTCATCGAGCTATTGTGAGCAATTTTACTGATTTCCCTTTTTTTATAACTTTGTGGTGCTTGTTTAGCACGAATAACTAGTGACTGCGCCCCCCCCCCACCCCTACTTCTTTCGAAAGTAATATTTTTAGCCGTACTGCTGTACAGATTTCCTCTCTATCTTCTTTTCTTTCTCTTCTTCTCTATTTCCTTTCTCCCAGCGTACCTAGAAATGCAGGTTGCACCGATAATTCCAAATGGAAGTCGAACCCATGGCGTATCCTGTAGAAATTTATTAGTCCCCACAATCCCAGTGCTCCAATTTCTAAAGTGTATGTATTTAGCAGACCAACCGACATGTGCTGTAGTGGATATCGGCTGTCTCCCAGGATTTCACTGCGAGGACACGCTGACTGGCATTAGATGTGCGCCGAACAAAGGTATGCACAGTCCATATCTGGCGGCAGCAAGGGGTGTGGCTGTGAGATAGGCGAGGGTCCAGACGATAGAGAAACGAGACGGCATGGCGATAGTAGCCGTTGCTTCTTGCCCAACGATATGGACTGCAAAAGAACATTCATTCAGGCTGACCATAAGTTCACTACATCAAAATTTTTGGTTCCAGTTGAGAGATCACGTGGCGGCGGCGCGTAAATTGGCTGCTATCTAGTTGACTCGACGTATTATATCACCTTCTTTGAAGTCTCTGTCCACTTCAAATCAATAAGGTCCTCAAATGCCGTGCACGCGACGCCGCAACATGGATCTCCCAACCAACAGCCAAATTTCTGCCGACTTGTGAATACACTTGACTATGAAAATTCAGAGCACAAACCATTCATCCCTCTGCAGCCCCCTCATTGTGATCTTATCTGCATATCAGGAACTCATTGTGAACTCGTGAAAGGGAAACCTGAATGTGTGATGGACGAAGGTGAGGAAGATCATTATTCTCAACAACTGCTCCACTACAAATAAACTTCAGCGCTGCGATCAGGGTCTAAATATCAATGTGTTGGAGTTGAGTGCCCAGCAGGTGAATACTGTGAGCTATTCGACAATGCCCCGAAATGTGTGCCACTTCCGGGTGAGTTTCTCTGAAATTGAAGGCATTCTCTCTGCTGGTCGTGTGGGCGGAGTCAGACTTACCGTCCTGCTAGTCAGCTGCTTGTGCTCGTCCCAGTGATTTTTTCTATGGCGCAATTCGGCTTGGTGGGGGACATTTTGCTGGTTACCATCGATCATTACCAGCTTTTCCTGTGGAGACCTGTAAGCTGTTGTAAAGTTACGCCATAGCACGAGCTTTATCCTTGACAAGACTCTACAGGTCCCATCGAAGTGAGCCGTGTGAGTCAACGGGAACTATTAACAGAAACAAGGAAACCAGCGAAAAGCGCCCCCCCCCCCCCTACTGCCGAACAGTGCCTCAGTGGTTCAATATTTAGGACCTTGTGCAGCAGTTTTCTGTGCTCAAGGTGATTGCGTTGAATACGACAACACGTTTGGATGCTTCAATACAAGTTAGTTTATCTCTCATATTTGCAGAACTTCCAGAGAGTTGTGCTGTACATGTTCCAAAATGCTCTGAAAATGCATT